TCGCGGCTGTCGCATCGCGCCGCGCGTTTTCGGCGGCGCACCGCCTGTTGTTCCAATTGTGTAGGCTGTGTTGCGCAGCCTTGTCCACTTCTCCAGAACCAACCTGCTCTCTCATCCGCCTTGCCCCTTGTTCCCTTTCATCCTCGCGCCGTGTTCTCGACAGCCGTTTTGTGCTGGCGCGCGGCCGCGGGGGCCGCGCGCGCGGCCGCGGGGGCCGCGGCGCCGCGGGCCATGGCGGCCGCCGAGGAGGAGTCGCCCGTGCCCCCCTTCTTGCACGAGGGCGTCAAGTCACCCGCGCCGTCCGAAGACAGCTCGCAGGAAGAAGGCTCGAGGCCGCAGGCAGCAGACTCGTTCAAGAACGAGCCGCAGGAAGCAGGCTCGAGGCCGCAGGAGCTTGGTTCTGTGAAGGCCGAGGAAGGCGACACCTCGGCGGAGGCCAGTGCAGCTCCGCCTTGGCCCAAGGCCTCCTCGCCTGCGACTCCGCAGGAGCCCCCGCAGCGCGTGCCTGAGGAGGTCGCGGCCGCTGCGAAACCAAAGGCGGGGAAGGCGGGGCGGCCTCTCCTCAGGCGCCCCGCCGCCGTGCCGCCCGCCAAGCAGCCCCCGTCGCAGCGCTCGCTTTCTCAGTTCTTGACCGCGAAGAAGGGCGGCGGCGCGCCGCCTGCGAAGGCAAAGGCGAGCGCGGAGCCCAAGGCAAAGGCCAAACAGAAAGCGAAGAAGAAGCCAGCAGCGGCGGCACCTTCGACGGCGGAGGACGCAGCAGCAGGGGCGGACGAGGCAGAGCCACAGCAGCAGGCCCAGACGCAGCACGACAAGAAGTCGGTTGCAGCCTCGCAAGCACCGCCGGCAGCGGAGGAGGATGCAGAGCCACAGCAGCAGCGTCAGGATGCAGCGCCGACGGAGGCAGAGGCGGCAGCAGAGGAGCCGCAGGCCGCGCCCTCAGACACGTTCGAGGCCGCCACGGACGAAGCAAAAGATGACTACGGCCGCTTCACGACGGGCTACGACCCACCCTGTCCAGGCCCGACGTGCGCCAAGTGCGGTCGGGATGCGGAGAGCGTCCGCTTCAGGCTCGCCCAGAAGAGCGCCAACACGTGGTGGTGTGGGAGCTGCAACAGCAAGAGTTCGATGGTGCAGCGCTGCTATGCGCACTGGCCACCGCGCTCGTTCGCTCTCATGCGCAAGGCGGACCAGCAGGCGTTCTGGCGCTCGATGGACGACCCTTCCATTGAGAACAACGCTCAGTTCGAAGAGGAGCTGGTGAGGGTCCTCAGCGTCTCGAGGAAGGAACGCCTCACGGAGACCAAGGGCGGGGATTGGAAGCCCTTGTCCGTCTGGGCCCAGGAGGGGTACGACGCGGACGCCGTCCGTGCCAACAACGACGTGAGGTACAATTCCGACTTGAAGCAGGATTGTTACCGCATCCGCATCGAGGGCAGCAGGCAGGAGAGCCGTGGAGCCACTCCCGCAAAAGACGCACCGCTCGCCGAGCGGTGGCTACGAGGGCCCCACAGGCGCTGGTCGCCGTTCGACGAGTCGGAGCGGCGACAGCGACTGTTCGCAGAACCGCCAGCTGAAGCGGGGCCACTCCAGCAGCGGCGACGGCGCGGACCGCTTCCCCAGCCGCGGCCGCAAGCGCAGCAGCCGCGGCCGCAGGGCGGACAGCCGCCAGAAGCACCGCTCTTCCAGAGGTTCCCGCATAGCCGACGCGAAGGGCCGCCGCTCGAGGAGCCGCAGGGCGCACGGCAAGAAGGAGAAGGCCCGCTCGAGGAGCCGCAGGGCGCACAGCAAGAAGGACAAGGCCCGCTCGAGGAGCCGCAGGGCGCACAGCAAGAAGGACAGCCGCAAGACGGGTCGCTCCCAGTCTCGCGAGAAGCAGCGCTCGAGGAGCCGCAACGACCACGGCAAGAAAGGGAGGGGCTCGCGCAGTCGCATCAGGAGGGAACGCAGCGAGCAGAAGCGTGTCCAGAAGGCCATCAAGGACCGCAAGGCGTTGGCGATGAAGACGCTGGAAAAGACGGTGTCCTGGGACGTGCAGCTCGCATCGCTCCTCGACGACGAGGACTGCTCCAGGGTGCCGACCTGGGCGGTGAAGAACGCGAAGGACAGCCACAAGGATCTCTCGAAGCTCAGGGAGGCCGCGAAGACCGCGCTCGAGGACCCCGGGGGGAGCTTGCCGTACGAGGCGAAGGCCTTGGAGGCAGCCCTCGCCGACGCAAAGACCGCTGTCGGTGGCCTGCGTTCGGCCATCGAGCACGCGAGCTGCTCAACGGCCTTTTCATCCATCGTGGATGGCGGTGCTCCGCCGATCGACCGCTCGACTGCCGATCGATCGATCGAAGATTTTGCTGATCGACCGCTCGACCCATCGAGGATTTCGCCGATCGACCGCCGACCGATCGCGTTCGGATCGGTCGACCGCCGATCGATCGATCGACCGCCGATCGAGCGCCGTTCGATCGCGATCGACCGCCGATCGATCGCGTTCGACCGCCGATCGATCGCGTTTGCGTCCCGATCATCCTTCTACAGGCCAAGAAGTACAGCAAGAAGAACACCTCGAGGGACTGAGCTCGGCGGCGGCTGCCCTGCTCAGTCCCCAGCCGCTGCGACGCGCGCTGGGGCGCGCTGGAGGCGCGCTGGAAGTCTGCCCCCGCCCGCGCAGACTTCCCTCGCTTAGACAAAAACTATATTCCTCCGTGGTCCGCCTCCCTTTCCTCGTGCACGGCGTCCTTGTAGCCATGCTCCTCTTATTTCTGGCGGTGCACCGCCCATGGGCAGCATCCGCCGACGGCGGTAGTTTGCCTCCTGTCCACACCCCGCACTCTTCTGGCGGTACACCGCCCGTTGCCAGCCATCCGCCGACGGCGGTGCTCAGCCTCCTGTCCATGCCCCGCACTCTTCTGGCGGTGCACCACCCGTGTGCAGCCATCCGTCGTCGGCGGTACTCCGCTTCCTGTCCATGCTCAGGAGTCTTCTGGCGGTGCACCGCCTGTTGTCAGCCATCCGTCGTCGGCGGTACCCCGCCATCCGTCATCCGTTGTCACCCATCCGTCATCCGTTGTCAACCTTTTCCACCGCCTCACCCACCCTACTTCAACGGCTCGAAGGGCGCCCGCGGCGGCGCGCCAGGCGGGGGCGGCGCCATGGCCGAGCGATGGCCCCCTGCCGAGCGTCAGAGGCTGCAGGGGGCAGCGCTTCTGCGCCCGCGGCGGCGCGCCAGGCGGGGGCGGCGCCATGGCCGAGCGATGGCCTCCTGGCAAGCGTCAGAGGCTGCAGGAGGCAGCGCTTCTGCGGGGCGCATCGCGGGCGGCGCTGGACAGGTGCACGGAATCCAAAAATCATAATGCGCAATGTGTTTGAAGGATGTTTTGTTTGGTCGGCTTTTTCTTTTCAAAATGCCCAACCGATCTCCACCCGCCTTCCCCGCGCAGGGTGGCTCGCGTCCTGCTGCAGGACGACGACGAGCACGTGGCGGCGGCGACCGTGGGCGCCGACGTGGCTCGCGCGGTGGCGCCGCTTCTGGATGTTATCGAATTGCCGCGCCGAGACGGTGGCCCAGCGTTCAGGTGGACTGTATGTTTGCCCGACAAGATCGTCCCCAAGCTGGCCCACGCGGCGGGGCCTTGGAGTGATCGGTTCTGGGCGGCGATGCGGGTGTTTCCTTCGTCGCCATCGCAACCGTGGCGGATGCTGCTCTACCACGACGACGTGGTCGTCGGCGCGCAGCTCAAAGCTGCAAACCGCAGGACGTCCATTGTTGTGTACATTAGTTTTTTGGAGCTGGGCACATACCTTCAAGAAGAGGGCGCCTGGCTCCCGCTGGGAGTCCTTCGGTCAGAGGACAAGAAGGATATCACCGCAGCGGGCGTGGTGAGGGCCATCCTGCGGCGCCTCTTCCTCGGGCCAGGAGGCGGCGGTTTCGACGTCGGCGCGTCTCGGTTGCATTTCAAGTGCCACAGGCTGATCATGGACGAAAGCGCGGGCAAGGACACCTTCTCGCACAAGGGCTCCAGCGGTTGGCGGCCCTGCTGCAACTGCAAGAACGTCGTGCTCGACCAGGGGACTGGCACCCTCAGCCGTTGGGACCCGTCTGGTTACCTGGTGGGTATCGCTTGCGTCGACGCCTCGAGGTTCGACCCGATGACTGCGGAGGCGTCGGGGGCGGGCAATGCGCGGCCGACGCTCGGCGAGTCCAGAGAGTTCACGAACGGACTTCGCGAACTCCCGGGAATTCGCGAGCGGAGTTCGCTCGGCCGGCTCCCGCCAAGGAGTTCGCGAAGGGGTACGACGAACTCGTGGAACTTCAACGCACGGCGAGTGCAGTGGCCTTCCAGAATCTCCAATCCGCGTACGGCATCACTGTGAACGAGTTCTCGTTGATGGCCGACGTCGAACTCCGACGCGTTTGCTCGCTGGACATGTACGCGCGCGACCCGATGCACATCATCCTGGCGAGCGGAGGCGCGTTCCAGGTGGAGGTGTTCTGCCTGCACAAAGCAGTGGCGCGCGTGATTCCAGACGTGTGGGATCGGTGGCGAACCGATGTCCAGCGCTGGGCTCCAGGCCGCGGCGGAGGGAAAGCTCCCGTGCATCTCTTCTCCCCTGCCAGGAAGAAAGCCTGCGTCGAGGCAGGGCATTTCGTCGGCTCCGCGTCGGACTGCCTCGCCGTCCTGCCGTTCCTCAGGAACTGGCTGCACGTGGATTTCTTGCCGCATCACGCGCCGTTCCTGCCCCAGGCGCGGTCCTTTGAGGCCATGTATGCCGTCATGGAACTGTACCTGGCGGCGAAACGCGGCGGCTGCCCAGACACGTTCGATGTTGATTTCAAGCGCCATGTCGGGTTGGCGCTCAGGAAACACGTGCGGGCCTACACGGACGCGTGGATCGTGCCTAAGCACCATTATCTTTGGCACGCAGCTGTGCAGGCGGCGGAGGATGGGTCGATGCTCGACTGTTTCGTGCTCGAGCGAAAACACAAGCTCATCAAGGACACCGCGGAGCACTACGACCGCTTGGGCGGCATGGACAAGGATGTGATCACCCAAGTTGTGGCTACGTACTTGCACGAGTCCTCGGCCGCGCCGCGCCAGTCGCACAAATGGTGGCCGACCCCTGAGCTCGACGGGATCATCGGGCAGCGCGGTTGGGGCCAAATGGGCTTTGGTGCACGCGCGAGCCTCCACGGGGGGCGCGCCTGCGGGGGCGCCTCTCGGGGCAACGCCGAGGCTCGCACGTGCACCAGGGCCTATCCAGGCACGGCGCCATCACTTGTCGTCGAGCTGCTGTCGGCGGCCTCGTCTACGGCAGCGGGGGCGTGTGGCTCGAGGGCGACGCCGCGTTCCACGTCCACTGCGTGGCGGTGGCCGCGGGGCGCTCCTACCTCATCGTGGAGCCGCTGGACCTGGCGTCGCGGCCTGCGCCTGGGGAGTCCGCGTGGCGGCCACGAGGAGGACCGAGCTGCGCAAGGAGGAGGGAGGGGGAGGAGGGGAGGGAGGGGGAGGAGGAGGAACAGGGGGACGAGGAGGAGGGGAGGAGGAGGGGGACGAGGAAGGAGAGGAGGAGGAGGAGGAGGAGGAGGAGGGGGACGAGGAGGATGGGATGGCCCACTACGCCGCCGCCCCATAGGATGCGGCGCGCTGGCTGCTGAGGACGCCCCGCGGGCGCCTGCGGCGTGCACCCGCCGAGCCGAGGACGGGTCGGTCCGCGCGCTGGTGTAAAACGCGCGCGCGCGGCGGTGGGCCGCCTGTTGTAAAAAATCACGTTCGCGCGGCGGTAGCCCGCCTGGCGGCATCCCGCCTGGGGAAAAGGAGGGACGGACAGGAGGGGAACGGGAGCGGGGCCCCGCAGGCTGCACGGATCGATGGCGACGCCGACGCGTTTTTGAAAGCGCCCCCGCCCCCCATTTTCCATACGAAAAAGCAGACTTATCGGACTTATAAATTAGAAATAAGTTACATATAAGTAAGATATAAGTAAACTAGTTTTGATGAAGATGCTAGATATAAGTAAGAAGAAATAACATACATGCAGCATGTAACATACGTCAACGCCATCACCAAAGCAGAGCGGCCTCCGGCACCGTTTCCGGACGGATCCGCTGGATCCGCTGGATCCGCTGGATCCGCTGGATCCGGTGACGAATCCCAAACCGGCGCCCTCGCCTGAGACATCCTCACAAAACGGGCCCCGGGGGGGATGCCCAGAGGAGCCCACCTTGAGACTCCAAGGTCGATCTATAGTGCGGGGTCGAACTATAATGCGGGGGTTATACTGTTCTGCGGGTCGATCTATAGTTCGGGCGCGCCGAAAATAGTTCGACCCGCCGTTTTGGGGCAAACGGGGCTTCAGCGCCCATGCTCGCGCTCGCCCCACTGGGAGGGGTCCAACATATATTTGAGCCGACAGCAATGAATGACAACGATACACACAGAAGCGTTCTTTTCAAAGCATGCGCACAATCGGCTGGCCGCAGAACTTAGAGATGCATGCCACCGAAAACGCTCTCATGGACCTCCTTTGGCCCCTCCTTCGGCCAAATGCAGCTACAGATCCACCGAAATCCTCATCCCTATAGTTCCAGTGCTTCGCTGGTTCACCGCCGCCCATGCACAGCTCCAGAAACATGTGCATTTTAGGCTTCACTTTAAAATGGGCAGGAAGCGCGTCTTGCAAAGCGGCCGTCTGCGTGGCAAACTTACTCGAATGCTCTCTAAGAATGTCCACAGCAAATGGGTGATTGTCAGAGAGTGCCTCGTAACACCGACATAAGCTTTTCATCCCTGCGTGAATGGACGATTCTACAGCTGCCCGCTCGTCGACGCCATTCCTCCTATCAAGGAAAGCCTCCGCCATCTCCAATGCCCATGGAACCATGTGCCTGAGCATCCCCGCGCCGCACCTCATCTTAGCCGTCGTTGCTTTTTTCCTTTCACAACGCCCCGCGTCAGTCTCGATAGGCGGCTGGTCTTCTCACCTGGCGGCTGCCTGTCGTAGAACGCCATCAAATGACCATGTAGTGTGGAGACGCGGCCTTTCTGGGTAGTTCCAGCCACCTTTTTGTGCGTTACAAGATACCATAGCAAACCCCCTATGAGGTCAGCCGCTACTCCAAGATCATCAACGTGTAACCAATCTAGCTTCAGCAACTTTTCGTTCGCATACGGCACTTGGAAGAGAGGGCACACCTGCTCGCCTGAAACGATAATCTTCGCAAGGACTTCTGGCCATGTGCGTCGGTGCGTTCTCCACGGCGCGTCTCTCCCCGTCTGCGATTTCACCTGCGGGGAGTAGCCAAAAACACTCCTCCTCCTCCTCCTCCTCCTCCACCCCTCCTCCCCCTCCTCCTCCACCCCCCCTGAAGGGGCCGCAAAACGACGACGACGCACCCCCTCCCAGAGGGGATTTCCTTCCTCCCCTGATGTGTTGCGCTCCCATGGCCTCGTCCTTCTTGATGTTGCACAGGAAGCATACTTCGTCATCTTGCCAGCCAGGTAGCTTGAGCACCTCCTTCATCATCTTCCAGTCCCCTTTGATCTGGCAAAGCACTCCGCCAATTGGTAGGGTTGCATCGGCCACTTGTCGGCGCTTCCTCCAGGCGCCCTGCGCGCCGAAGGGAGAGCCGTCGTGCCGTGCCGCCGGCCAGCGCTTCGCAGCCAAGTGAACAAAGCTCCACTGCACCACTGCAAAAACATCATCAAATGTGTTGGGGCCCACGTGCTCTTTGAGGAACGCTGCGATTGGGGCCCGCAGGTTTTTCCAGCGCCCCGCAGCCCCTGGCAACATGAGGCTGATGATCTCTGCGCTCATCGATCGGTCCCAAAAGCAAGGGACCCCGTCCTGCCACACGCCCAGGGCCACCAGGTCGTTGCAACCACTCTCCGCCCTGGCTCTTTGCACGTGGCGCAGAGACACGCCGTCGAGACTCGACGTCTCCAGTAGCACGCTCCGCTCGCCAAAATGATGAAGTTGATGAAGTATTTCGTGAGGAAGCATCATCGCTAAGTCCATCAGTTGTTCTGTTTCAGACTTGGGGCCCCAGCCCCTCACCTGGCAGTGATAGAGCGGAGGCCACCCTTGCCTGAAGAAATCCCGCCTGAACTTCCTGGCAGCGTTTTTCATGCCCGACGTTGACTCCGTAGTGCGCAGGTCGGAGAGACCTGTCGCAGATGCAGAGACGCAGTCATTGATCAGCTGAGCGCCGCGCTGCCCGCTGACCACGCTGCTGCTTATCAGGTCCTGCACGTTCGCTCTCAGCCGCCTCTCCGGCGGCAAGCCCAACCTGTCATAAGGCAACCGCCGCCTGGAAAGCATCCCGCGGGGCCCGCGGGAGACAGGCGCGAGCGCGGCGGCCTTGAGCCACTGCAGTGGCTACGGACATGCGCGGATGAGGCAAGGGGCCCTTGCCCTTTCCCGCGCCCCTCCTCCGCGCCCTCCTTCAATCCCTTTCATGCCCCTCCCCTCCTGCTACTCCCCTCCTGATGATACCAAGCCCCCCTCCCCCCCGCCCCCCCCTCCCCCCACGCCCCTGCGATGAGGGGGGCTTCTTTACTGGCAAACCCAGAAACACGCGGCCCCTCACGAAGGGGCACCCCTGGCAGAGGAAGCGGCAAGTTCTCGTTTTCCCACGGGCGTCGGAAAGGCAGCGCTGCATGCGCGTCGTCGGGCGAGGCAGAGCATCTCAAACCCTACTGCATATATGCATGTAAATACTGATATGTAGATGTAGATGTAGGGCCGCAGCTCAATTGAGGAACTTCTTGAAGCGCTTGACCGAGAGCTGAATGCCCTCGTACATGTGCTCGTGTGTGTTGTAGGCGGCCTGGACCTCATTCTTCAGCTTATCGTACATGTCCGTGTCCTTGCCGACAGAATCAGCGCCCTCAATTTTCGCAATCAGAACCTCCATCGCCGTCTCGTGCTGGTCCGCATTGTCCACGCACTTCTTGCACTCATCGGCCCAGTTCTGGAAGCTCTGACGGTCCTTCTGATCCTGATCCCCAGCCTTCGCGAGCAACTGATTCTTCGTGTGCTTTAGGAACTTCAGCTCCTTCTGATACTTGACCAGCATTTGCCTTGGTAGGGATCATAAACAAGCAATGCGCCGACATGCTTTTCAACGCAAACAACGCACGACAGAACGGATACGAACCAGTTTCTATCGCCATCCCCTCCAGGAGGGGCGGCGGGGGCGTGGCGGGGGAGAGGGCCCCCCTCTGGGAGGGGTCTGGCAGAGCACCAGAGATGGAAGGGCAGGGGGCGGCTGCCGAGGACGGCGCGCGATCTCGTCCTTCTTACTCACGATCTCTGGCCAGTGCGGATTCTCGATCTTCACCTCGCCGCCCCCACCCGACCCCGAAGCGCTGGACGACGGGAGCTCGGCCATCCTGATGCCTGCAGCTTCGAGTTGCTTCAGGTTCTTCAGGTTGGACGTCCCCTTGAAGGTGCGCGAGCCCTTCGTCACCAGCTGGTCATCGTCCATGTTGCGCTCGACGAAGTACCACTCCTTCCACAGAGGCCTGTCCTTGACATCTTCCTTGATGGGGAATTCTTCTTTGGTGCCATGCTCTTCGCTGTTCTCCTCCCACCATTCCTGCACGAAGGCAGTGGCTTCCTGGACGTTCGCAAAGTCTTTGATGGTGAGGTTCTTGAGGGCCAGCGCCTGCGATACATTCCGGTGCCCTTTCTTGGCAGAGCGCGTGTGCACCTCTTCATTCGTGCATCTCTCTTCGAAGGTGGCCAACCAGTCAAGTGTCTTATCCTTGTCACTCGCGAAGGTCTGCAAGAAACGCTTCCGATCGGCTGGGTCCTTCATCCCGTTCCAAAGCGCCTGGGCTGCTCTGGCGGATTCTGCTGTGCTCGTAGGTTTCCCGCTGCCGTCCTTCTTCTCCGACTGGTACTTGAGCCACGCCCTCATCTTGTCGGCCTCCTGCTTGTCGAGCCCGTGCCCCTTCGGGGCCGCCTTCGACTTCTTCGCCGCTGGTGCGCCCTGGCCCTCGATCTTCTTCTTCGGCGCCATGCTGCACAACGGTGTGAGGAGAGTGCCCAGCAGGAGCAGAGGAGGGACTACTCCTGGGGCGGGCATGGCTGCCGCGGGACTGACCCCTGAAATTTGGGATACAGCAGCAAAATCGAAATGCCCTGCGGCAGCCGAAACGCCTGCGAATGGCAAGTAGATCGTCGGGGGCCTTCCCCGCGCACTTCAGTGGTGCGTGTGGGTGTGGTGTGGTGCTGTGGGTGTGGCGTGTGTGGTGGTACATTTCAGTATCGTCGAGCCTTCCCCTCAGCCAGGGGTTCGTTTCTCTCCCCTCGAAGGGGCTCGCAACCCACGCGGTCGCCTCCTCCCCCTCGAAGAGAAGGGGTGCTACCTCATCAGCGGTGAGGCGGGGGGGGGGAGGGGGTGTGCCA